TGGCTCTGTCAATCTGTTTCTTCACTTCAGCAGGTGGGTATTGTAGTTGTAAGAATGCTTGATAGAGATCTTGTAGGTGTTTGTCTCTGTCTGAGGGGTTGGAGCAAATGCAATTGTATCATAAAGCTTGGCTGTAGACAATGGATCATGTGATGTGGTCTGGATGAAAGCTGGAGGCATGTAGGTAAGTATAGCAGTTAGTAGGTTTCCGGTATAGGGTGGTGTTTATGTGACCATCGCTTATTAGCACTGTAGTGTCCAGGAAGTGGATCTCTTGTGTGGACTGGTCCAGGCTGAGGTTGATGGTGGGGTGGAAATTGTTGAAATCATGGTGGAATTCCTCAAGGGCTTCTTTTCCATGGGCCCAGATGATGAAGATGTCATCAATGTAGCGCAAGTAGAATAGGGATGTTAGGGGACAAGACAGCTGAGGAAGCCTTGTTCTAAGTCAGTCATAAAAATGTTGGCATACTGTGGAGCGATGCGGGGTACCCATAGCAGTGCCGCTGATTTGAAGTAGTGTCCCCAAATGTGAAATAGTTATGGGTGAGGACAAAGTTACAAAGTTCAGCCACCAGGTTTGCCGTGACATTATCGGGGATACTGTTCCTGATGGCTTGTAGTCCATCTTTGTGTGGAATGTTGGTGTAGAGGGCTTCTACATCCATAGTGGCTAGGATGGTGTTTTCAGGAAGATCACCAATGGATTGTAGTTTCCTCAGGAAGTCAGTGGTGTTTCGAAGATAGCTAGGAGTGCTGGTAGCTTAGAGCCTGAGGAGGGAGTCTACATAGCCAGATAATCCTGCTGTCAGGGTGCCAATGCCTGAGATGATGGGGCGTCCAGGATTTCCAGGTTTATGGATCTTGGGTAGCAGATAGAATACCCCTGCTCAGGGTTCTAGGGGTGTGTCTGTGCGGATTTGCTCTTGTGCTTTTTCAGGGAGTTTCTTGAGCAGATGGTGTAGTTTCTTTTGGTAACCCTCAGTGGGATCAGAGGGTAATGGCTTGTAGAATGTGTTGTTGTAACTGGCTGGAGGTCTTATCCTTTAAGTGAGCAGGCCAAGAAGCAGACGGGCTTGACAACCTGTCAGGTAGCAGTTAAGCCATTTTCATCTTCCCCCTTATGCTGCCAAGCGCATGATGGGAGTCAATGAAGCTCCTTGCAGTAGTGACCATAACTATTACTTAGCATGGTCTATGGAAGTGTGTTACTGAGTGGCTTTTATTTTTATCTTTCATATTTATGCACTGAAACCCTTTTAAATTATTTGTTCTAACAATCAATGAGATTATAGTTCTTACAAGAATTCGCCCATGTTAGTTTATTGTGGCTATTTAATATTACAGGTAGAAAAATAGTCTAATAGTCAATAGAGTCTGACTTGGAGCCTCCAAGCATTTGTGTAATGCAAATATTTACCAAGTCTAGAAAATAACTGTTTAGAAGATCCAAACGAGACTGAAGACTAGGTTGCTGGCAGTGAGCAGCTAAGTTTCAATAATAACAGGCACACGACTGACAGAATGAAGAAACTTAACTCCATGCTTCAGTTTTCCACTCTGGTCTACAGTCTTCTTATGGTAGGGTAATTTAGTGCTTTGACTAGAACTCTCCCATTATAGGATAAACAGTTCGGAACAAACATCACACAATCTTCCAGCTCACTCTGAGCTGAAATAGTCCTTAAACAGCTCTTCCCTGCCCAGGTGTCCATTTTCCTGTTGACACAAACTGTGTAGGCGGGAGGAGCAGAGTGGTCCATCAGCCCTTCTAAACTCAGTATGTGGGGGCTTCTTTCCACTCTTATTGAAAGTCCAAGCTGGGGGCCCTAAACAAAGATAGAAAGAAGTAACAGACCCCCAAACTCGCACCTCTGCTGAACTGTCACAGGCCTTTTCCTTTTCTTGCTTCATCTCTTCTACTCATGCCTGTTTTCATACCATTTTCCCACAGCCCTACTGGCTGCTTCTCCAACCATGTTGGTAGTGAAATACTGCAGATCTGGTTTCTCTCTGGTGTTTCACAGGCTGCCCTTTTTTAGTTTGGTTGGCACATGATCACTCATGAGCCCCTCCAGACAAATCCTCCAGAATACCCTTGTCCCTGACTGCACCAGGACCAAGTTGTGCCTATAACCTCCTCTAAAGAGTCAGTGCATACCCTGATATAGGCTGGTAAGAATAACACTGACCTCTGCTTCTGAGATTGCTGTAGCTTCTTCCAGGGCTTGAGCCATTCATAAGTTTCTTTTAAAGTTCCTCATCTCTTCTCCCTACATCTATTTCTAAACAGAGTATTGCCCATATATTAGTACATCCTTTAGCATAACAAAGATATAAAAGAATGCTCCAATCCAGTTTTTTCCCCCTTTGAAGGTCATCTTTAAAGGAAGAAAGAGTGTTCTGCTATTCTTCCAAGTCATTATCGTGTAGAAGCTCGGTTCTGTTTATATCAGTTACAAGGCAGGCAATATCAAAATCTGTTGTTCACAATCCATGACCTTTAGGCTACGTATACACTGAGAATTTTACAGATGTCTTTTATATTTGATCTAGCACTGGTGGTGGCAACAATGGCTAGTATAGATGTTTTTACCATATGGTGTTTTTACCATCCATGTGGTATTATTCAGCACTGTTCAGAGCAGGTCTGCACAACACTGAGTAGTACCCAGACCACTGGATGGTCTAGATTAGTTCTCCCACTATTGCACCAGTGGAGTTTCATTAGTAGAGATTCATTAGTGTTAGATCAACAGTGAGGAAAATCTAAGTGTAGATATGGCCTTTGTTTACATCTGGCTCTCTAAATCTTCAAAGAATATAGCCCCAGGAAATACCTGCTAGAAAGGCAAGTGTTTGTTTTTTGTTTTATTTTTTAATTCAGACTGCATTAATTACAGTAATGTAAGATCTATTGTTAACTAAAGATTAAGAAATCAGGATTCAATATTTGTATTAGGATAGACTTGGGCAAATCAGTGTTAGTAACCATCTCACCCTCCCCCGCATTATTTCAAGGTCATATTTGACTTTTCAAACTGAACTGCTATTCTGGTATCTTTGGTATGGTTTAGGAAATCTTAGGTGATGACATTTGCAGATAGATAACCCATTAGTTCTTTATTACAGTGGATGTATTGGTTTGGCCAGTACTTTGCTTTCAAAGGTGGTGGATATAAATTTCTACTGCCTTATTGTGCCACAATTGTGTAAACACAGTTATCTAGAACTGAGATCCTGGGGTGAGATTCTGAGCTGCAATTCTAAGATTGCCCCTAACTCATTGCCCAGCAGTGACTACGGCAGCTTTAAATTACCTTTGCACATTTCCAGTCTTGTGCTGCTCTGAGGGCTAGAGCTGCCCCAGCATAATTTATGCAGCCCTGGGGTAATGTATAAGTTACAGCAGCATCATGGGCCACAGCATTGCTGAGAAACTCCATAGTCCTGCATGATATGGCCCCTATTCAGCATGCTCATCATACCCCCCGCATACTTCTACACCGACCTTTGCAAGGGGGTCTTTGCAATGCAGCTGATAGCTCCCTTGTACAGTGTCTATACTAGGGGAAATCCTCCCCGGTCAGTTATGGCGGTTTTAGGGTCCTTTAACCGGGTCTTACTTCATTCAGTGACAGATCCTACTATTGCCTCAGTTTCCTTCCTTCCACAGGGAGACAGAACCA